TCTGTTACTCAGAGTAGGGTCAGCCTTTCATCCTACTCCAGCTTCCTGCTGATGGACTGAAGGCCACTCACGGTGTGGGAGCAATTGGCTTTGCTCAGCCTCCTCTCCAAATGGAAACCTCATCCTAAACATCCTCACGGGAATACTCAGAATAATATTTGATCAGGTATCTGGGTCCTCTGTGGTCCCTTCACATTGACTTATGAAACTCGCTGCAATAGTGATATTAGGCCATAGTGTTAACAAAGATCTAGACACCAGATATGTTCAATGCTACTGAAGTGTCACAGCCTCTAGATCCTGTCAGGTAACAGAGGTGTGTGTGTGTGTGTGTGTGCGTGTGCGTGTGCGTGTGTGTGTGTGTGTGTGTGTGTGTGTGTGTGTGTGTATACATACAGAAAGAATACATATATATGCATACTTCCACAAAGAACCTTTTCCTGTAATCTCACTCATTTCTAAAGTCATTACATCAGCCTTTGCTCTCCTTCCTCCTTTAGTGACATATATTATATATATATATATAATATACATATATATATTCATTTATGATTATGGTGTTCATTTGCTTTTGCAATGCTGGAGATTGAAGACAGAGCCTTGCATGTGCTAAGCAAGCACTCTACCACTGAGCTACATCTATAGTTCCATGTGTTCTCATAAGCAACCATCCTATGCCCAACTCCAAATCATTAGCATCATGGTCTTTCTAGTCTCTTCCCTTGCTTATCCACAGAAAGTGATGAGAAATGTAGCTGAGACTACCTGTCACCCATTTGCTCGGATGTTCTATTTCCCAATCCACATAAAAATGATTACTATGATGTGCCAACTTAAACGGAACATAGGTGCCCAGGTATTTGGGTGTGACTGTGAATGTATTTCTTTGAGATTAACTCTGTAATGACAGAGTGAAGCAAACTGCCCTCAATAATGAGAATAGGTCTGGCCAAATTAGCTGAAGGAACTAAGAGAACGCAGGGGCAGAGGACATTCCCTTTGCCTGACTACCATTCATGGGGCACTGTTTCATCCAATCAAAGTATAGATTGGCTGTCCTGGGTCTCCAGCTTGGTAGGCATAGATATTGTAACTTGTCAGCCTCCAAAATCACACCCACCAAATATTTAGTACTGTATCAACCCCTCTCACCTACCACTCTCTTCCCCTCTGATTGGATAGATAAGACTGCCTCTCTGTTAGATACTGACTAATGCACCTGTAGTGTGTCCAGAATTCCAACGCCATGTACCCATGGGATCAATGGTACCAAGTAGAACACAGCACCCACACCCAGCACCTTCTCCTGGAGTCTCACGACGTCAGCCTTTGCTCTCCTTCCCCCTTCGGTGAAATGTGTAATAAAGTCAGATTATTTGATCACATTGTGCATTCCCTTGTAGGTTACCTCACACATATAAATCATCATGGGGAGTGGGTTCTGAGGGAGACAGCCCGGTCAGTAAAGAGCTTCTTGCACAGTCTTGAGGGCTTGAGTTTGATTCCCAGCATTTGTGTGCAAGCCAGGCCCTGCAGGACATGAGTGAGACAGCCAGCTTAGCTGAATTGTTGAGCTCCAGGGTGAGGAAGAGACTCTGAGAAACAATGTTTTAAATTAATTCATTGGGAGGTTCATAGATGTCCACAACATATTCTGATCATGTTCACTCTTGACTCTTCGTCCTACCAGATCCCCACACTGCACATGGTCTCTTTATCTCTTTCCCCTTCTCTTACAAAGTCTTATTTGTGCTTCTTGCATACACATGGGTGTTGGGCTCTGCATCGGAGCATGATTTACCTACCAGGGGCCACATCCTTAAAGAAAACTGACTCTCCCCATCTCAGACTCACAAGTCCTTGAAAGGAGGGGCTCCTGGGGAATGGCTTGATCAGCATAGTGCTTTTCACAGAGGCATGAGGGCTTGAGCTTGAGCCCCACCATCAACCCTCAGCAGTTCCCCAGCTACAGGTGAGGGTTGGTGAGGCACTCTCCCATCCGCGCTGGAACGTGGACTGGTTTGGCCTCCTGTGGGTTTTATGCAGCTAACCACAGCTCAGGTTTTATGCAGCTAACCACAGCTGCTGTGGATTCACGGGCACAGCGGTTCTGTCATGTCCAGAGGACACTTTTTGTTCTCGTCTTCTCTGACACCTGGCTCTTATAGGCCTCCTGTCCCTCTTCTGAGGTGGGTCCCCAGCCCTGGACCGAGAGAGTGTGATGACACAGACACCCCCCTTGTGGCTGAGCACCCCATGGACATTTGTTCTCTACACTCGGGCCAGTTGTGAGTTCTGTTGGATGCTCACAAGTTCAGGAAGTTGCCCTCTCGGCCATATGCATAGAAAAGTTTTTGTTTACTTTAACGTGTCCGAGTGTTGGATTATGTGGTCTGTACCTTTTCTACACTGCTGATATGATCATGTGGCTTCTTTTTTGCTGTTTCAAAATACTAGATTGTCGTATGTGCTTCTGGATGTTTGAACAGGCCTGACACATTTGGAATGAACCCTGGCTAGTCATGGTGTAGAGTTTTTTTTGTATATACCCCAGCTTTCTGTTTAGTGCTGTCTTGTTGAGTCCTTTTGTGTGACATTTATGAGCAGTGTTGATTAGTTTATGGTTTTCCCTTCTCCAAGTAGCTTTCTCTTGTTTGCATTGTTAGAACAGTGTTGGCTTGAATGGGGTGAGTCATACATGGCACCCTCCATGTCTGCTTCCTGAGGTAGATGTTGGTGCCATTTCACTTTTAGGCAATGAAAACATCTCAAGGGTACACTCATAGGTTTGATTTTTTCCACAGTTGGTGCATAGGCTATCCATTTCTCCACATCTTATTATTTTGCAGCTTTTAAGGTTTGGGTGCATTTAATCAAAGTTATCAAATGTATTGACATATAGGGTCATAATTTTACCTTATGATACTTTAGATTACTAAGTATGTTAAGATTTTAACTTTATCTAAATCCACATATGTATTAGAATGCTTGTGAATCATTTTCCTTTTCATTATTCCTTATAGATACATAATCACAGGTGGAGGGCATGGGCTTCGATCAGCCGTCCTATGCCTGATCCCGAGAAGAAAGTGAGGTGGTGCTCATGTGAAACGGGGGACACCCATTTTGGTGGGGGGATGATTGGGAGTGAACACATGAGGAGATCTATGTGCCAGGATCCAGAATTTCTTTCCATAAAATAATCAGGTAAAATGGATCAAAATATTACAGTCTAGAGGTCTGGATTAGTTTGATTTCTCTGCCAGCTAAAGAATTAAAAGGCAGGGAAAATCTTGAGTGCTACAGGTAGCAGAGGGGATATCTGAGACACAGCAGAGATAATCAGCCCAGGAAAGAAAGTGTTTGATTCTGAGTGAGGAAACACACACACACACACACACACACACACACACACACACACACACACACACACACACACACGGCTTTTTCTCTAATTAGGCAGGGATATGTTTCTCCAGGAGATATTTTGAGTAAACACAGGTGTAGAGGGACACATAGTCTCAGAAAATAGGCAGAAGCATTAGGCTGTTAAGTTTGCATAGTTAGAGCAGTCTATATACACAGGTTCACATGTATAAATCCCAGCACCAGCAGATGGAATATTTTTTTATATAAAATCTATGAAGAGGTGCAGATCTTACTCTTTTTTTTTGGGAGGGGGGGTTTCGAGACAGGGTTTCTCTGAGTAGCTTTATGCCTTCCCTGGAACTCATTCTGTAGCCCAGGCTGGCCTCAAACTCACAGAGATCCGGCTGGCTCCCAAGTGCTGGGATTAAAGGCGTGCCCCACCACCACCCGACCAGATCTTACTCTTCTGTCAGTCTCCAATCACCACACTCTGAGGACTAATAATATGTAGTCCAGGGATCAAGCACAGCTTACCAAAGTCCTGGAGGGACTTCATACAAGCACTGTGATATCTTATACAAAAACCCAGAAGTACCTGTGATTTTAGTATCTGCAAAGGTCCCACAATTAATATGGAGTGGATACCACATGAGAACTACACATAATATGGCAGGCCAGACACCTCCCGCTCTATTAGATCCAGATGGAGTTGGAACTCAGATGATAAGGGATGCTGAGTGTTGGGTTGCTATAGGACAGGTTTGCTGACCTTTCACAGAGGCAGAGAATGAAAACCATAGGATGTCCATTATCTTTGAAAGAAATAATGTGTCACTTGAAAATGCAGAAGTAACTTTAATGCCACCCATCATTTTCTAAATCTGCTTTATTTAGGAGTTACAAGAAAGCAAAGAGCTCAGAAAACATCCCATGGATAGATTCTGTACACCACCCAGATAGTCACAACATTGGAACCCAGGAAGGGATTCCAGCATGAAAGGGGCAGAAATGATTTTGTTGTCATACATAGCCAAAAAGATAGAACTTTATGAGCAAGCACCTGCTAATGAAGCGACACAGTGAGTGACAAGTTGTAAAGGATCATGGTGTGAAGTCAGAGGATGACAATCAGAAGATGAGTCATGGCGACCCAGCGGGGACAGACAGAGGAGCAAAAAGGACTCAGCTCCCCAGCCCTAACCAGAGAGCAGAGGTGGGAGGCCAGCAGGGACAGCCCCTGAGCACAGGGCTCTGCAGCCAGGGGTCTGGGGTCAGGGACCAGCTCTGGTGGCAGGGACTTCAGTGCCTGTAGCTCTTCCTGCTGGAGGAGTTGCTGCTGTACTTGATGGTGGAGGAGCTGCCACCAGAGGAGCTGAGGCCACCGCTGATGCCTCTGCCACTGCCAGAACTGAAGCCACCTCCCAGGCCATGGCTGCTGCCGTAGGAGTAGCTGCTGCCTCCTCCCAGGCCCAGGCTGCTGCTGGCACCACCTGCGCTGCCATAGCCGCTGGACATGGTGGACTGCACCACAGCTGTGAAGGAGGGAAGGGTACAAGGGACACCGTGAGCCACTCTGTCCAGTGAGCCAGGCACAAGGCAGGGCAAGGGGAGGCGGCAAGCAGAGTACTTACAGATGTTGACTGGGCCAACGCCTTCACCATTCAGCCTGGAAGAGGAACAGAGCAGGTGAGAACCAGGGAGCCATCACCTCAGTCCCTGTGGGAACCCTCAGTCTGGTGATTGTTCACAGAGAATCCCAGCAGAGGGTTCCTGAATGGAGCCATTGTGGCCACAGCTGGTACTCCCTCATCTTGTGCTCAGTGCCTGGCATCATGGAGGTGTCCTCAGGGGCTGGGGGAGGGGTGAGTACTCTCACCTGAACTCCTCTCCTTCCAGCAGCTTCCTGTAGGTGCCGATCTCCATATCAAGGGACATTTTGACATTCATGAGCTCCTGGTACCCCTTCACCATCCTGACCTTGTCCTGTTTGGCCTTCTGTGTGGCATCCTCTAGCCCCTGCAGCTTGCCCCTGGCATCCTTGAGGGCCATCTCCCTGCGCAATTCAGCCTCAAGAATTGTAGCCTGCAGTTTGGCACACTGGGCGGAGAGAGTAAGATAAACAAACTTGAGGTGTGGTTCTCTTGAGAGGGTGAGCCCAAGATCTTTGTTCCTTGTGAGCGAGAGTCTAGAGGATCAGAAACAATGGACAACAACCTCTGAATTTTTCTGTCTATCCTACCTGCTCCTTGGCGTTGTTGATCTCAGTTCTCAGCCTCTGGATCTTGCGGTCCAATTCGGTGATCTCCTGCTTGGTGTTGCGCAGGTCATCCCCGTGTCTGCGCCCTGTGACCTTCAGCTCCTCATACTGAGGGTCAATAGAAGAAAGAACATTTATGTTAGTTTTACATGCAAAAGCAAATTCACGCTTAAGTGGCATCAACTATCCTTGGATTTTGGCTTTTCCACAAGGGAAGCTGATGAAGAACAGGACTACATAGTTCTCTTGGAGACTGAACATGTTCTGTGTAATCGCATGAGGCCCAGTATCTTTAGTACAGCTCAAGCAAAGAGAGCATGGACACCATTTATGGCAACTTTGCATCCACCTCTGGGTTCGCTTGATCCTTGGACTACAACATAACTCTATAACACAAGTGCAAGGTCCATTTGCTATTACAGGATCCCAGGTTCTTCTCAGTAGCTCTTTAATCTCGAATGATGTCAGACAGAGACTTACAGATACATTTTGAGTCCCAGATACCCTTGATCAGCCTCCATTCAATACTCACTTTTGTCTGGTACCAAGACTCAGCCTCTGCCTGGCTCCTCTGAGCAATCTCCTCGTATTGGGCCTTGACCTCAGCAATGATGCTGTCCAGGTCCAGGCTACGGTTGTTGTCCATGGAGAGGACCACAGAGGTGTCTGAGATGCGAGTTTGCATCTGAGACAGTTCCTACAGAACAGAAAGAGGCAACGTCAGCTATGGACGTGAGGATTACAGATGTTCCCAACACCCCACTCTCAGTTTGCACAGGAGAAAATAAAGGGAATGGGGACAAAGTGGACGAGGGAGAAGAACAGAGGTTTTGACTACTGAGGGTCCAGGGGAATTTGATGCATCTGGCATGGGATATCCAAGGGATAAAAATCTACATACACTATGCTCTTATGTCTGATAACTTTATTCCTCTAGGACAAACATGCATTCAGGGCAGGAATAACTCTAGATGCACCAAGCTCCTTATCGGTCTACTTTATTTCTCTGGGATAAAATCCTGTCTACATAGCTTCACTTCCATCTGGTTCCCTCTCATAGTCCTGCTAATGACTACGCTCCTAGGCTTGCAGCCTCATCTTCATCCTCTGTTTCCTCCTTCTCCATCTACTGCTCTCTCCTCCTGGCACTCAGAAAACTACCACAGATCTGCCTCACCCTCTACAGAACCTGTGTTCCTCTCTTATCTCTGGCCATGCCATTCTGTCTGTTTCTACAGAAAATATCTGACCCTTGCCGCCCTGTCCACACAGTTCTCTGCCTCCTCATGAATGTTCCTCTTCCTTCCAACTTGATATATAAAAACCTCTTTTGTTTACAGTCAACTGCTCTGGAGAGCCACTAGGCCTTGAGGCAGGGGGATGGTTTCAGCTTCATTTGCACAAAGGAGGACTATGCATCTCCAGCCAGTTTGTCTCCCAGGCTCAGTGCAGGAGTTAGTTACCTAGAAGTTCAGAACATCTGGGGAGCTAAACTGTTAGCCAAGTGGTCTGGAAATATTTGGCACTCAAGAATTTCATAGCAGAAGACAGCTGAAATATTAAAAGCTGGATAGAAGGAAATATTCATAGTACATGGCTTGCCTTTAGACAGACCATTGGCCAGTCAAAAGCTTAGCTTTAATGCACAGCTGAATCTATATTATATATTCTTGTGGCTTGGAACACACACACACACACACACACACACACACACACACACACACACACGCACACACACACACACACACATTCACAGTTAGATAGAGATAGATAGATAAAGAGGGGGGGGACTTACTGCATCATAGAGATCTCTCCGGAAGTTGATCTCATCTGTCAGACTGTCTGTCTTGGCTTGCAGTTCAGTCTTATTCATGGAGACAGCTTCTACTTCCTGAGGAAAGAGTTAACAACATGGAATCTGGTTAACTCTCTTGCCCAGCCTATTTTCCTCCATCTCCCTGGCAACCATTCTCTGGAATGGACCAGACTTGCAAAGCATTTCTCTCCATCAGGAGAGAAACCATCCCTGTGACTTAGTCAGCTCACCTTCTTCAGGGTCACGAATTCATTCTCTGCTGCTGTGCGCTTGTTGATTTCATCTTCGTATCTACAAGAGGGAGGGTTCGACACATTGTAGCCAGTGGGTAGATGGCATCACAGGCAGCCCTTCACCCTACCCCAAATTCTATAAATGCAATATGTGCAAATCATGCCAAAGATGAATTTGTTGTTATTGAATATCATTCCTTTTCTCCCCCATAGCCTCCTACAACCGTCCAGGGTCGTATTCTCTTGCTCTTTGGAGATAAATTGTCATTTCATTGTTATGACTGAGCTTCCTTAATTCATGGAGTCTGGTTCTAGATTTGGGCCTTCATTACCACGAACTTTGACAATCTGTGTTCTTTTCTTAACTCACTTGTTCTTGTAGTCCTCCGCTGTATCCTGCATGCTCCTCAGCTCTGAGTCCAGGCGGCCCCTGTCCCCATTGATGCTTTCCTGTTCCCTCCTGAGGGTGCTGATGTACTGCTCAAACAACTCCTCAATGTTGTGCCTCACAGTCTTGGTGCCCTGCTCCTGCAGCAGGGTCCACTTGGTATCCAGGACCTTGTTCTGTTGCTCTAGGAACTTCACCTGGAGGGGAAGAGTGTGAGAAGAAAATGAGTTTCATTCTTCAGTGACCCCTTCATTAGTGTGACCCTCCTCTCAGGCTGTCTGCCTAGACCCCTTCAGTGTAGTCCCTGTCCCTGGGTCTACAGGGCCAACCAGAGTGAAGCTCCCAACATCATCCCCATAAGGAAGGCAGAGCTCTCAGGCAGGGCACAGGCAGCCTAGCAGTGGCTTACTGGAGTATGGTTCAGTCAGTGTGACTGGGATGCTCCCAAACTGGCCTACAGAGACTTCTGCCTTGTACAATCCTCTGTGATGGGAGGCTAGAGCTCATAACAGCCCACTGGAGTCAGACACCCTTATGGGGCAACCTCTGTAGGAGAGGAACTCTGACCCTGATTGCCAGCTGCCAGCCTAACTAAAGAGGAGCACCAAGCCAGGACAGAGTCAACCAGAAAGAATGGCCCTGCTTGAGCAAAGCCTAAAGACTCTTCCTCCACCTCTGCCTTTGGCATCCGCTCAAGTCTACTCCTGTGTAGGCTGCTCTAGAAAGAACACATCTCACCTTGTCGATGAAGGAGGCAAACTTGTTGTTGAGGGTCTTGATCTGCTCACGCTCCTCAGTCCTCACCCTCTGGATGGTGGGGTCGATTTGCAGGTTCAGAGGGGTGAGGAGGCTCTGGTTGATGGTGACCTCTTGAATGTCTTCAGGGGGCCACACAGGCAATCCAGAGCTCCCACAGCCACCACCAAACCCAGCTTTACCACCGAAGATAATGGCAGAGCCGACTCCTCCTCCAACTTGGCTACCATAGCCTCCCCCAATGCCACAGCTGCCTCCTCCGATGGAGATCCTCTTGGAGCTCCCCACACCATAGAGACTCCTGCTGCCAAAGCCAGCTCCTCCACACATGGCCCCGGAGCCACCACTGCCTCGGGAGCGGCACACAGACACACTGCTGAAACCAGAGCGGTTGAACCCAGGGACTCTGGCTGAGCCGGCACTGAAGCCTCGGTGACTGTTTTGACTCCTGATGGTGGTTTTGGTAGACATGGTTCCTGGAGATGAGAAGTCTGTAAAGTGGAGAGACTGCAGGCAAGAGCTGAGCAGATGAGCGTGATAGGCTCTGGGCAGCTGCTTATATATAGTATAGATGGGCTGGGCTTGGTCCTGAAGGGAGCTTGCAGAGTGGGAAGGGCAGAGAATTACACATACACAGTAAGCTTACACCTAGATTCATCAAAAATGTTATTTAATTTTGAGGTTGTGGTTTTGACTTCCTTTAGTGAGGGAAAATGCTCTTGCCTCTCATTTTAACATAATCTGGGTACAGTAAATCAGCTGTTTATTCACTGTATCTCACTTAGTCACCCACTCAAAGGTTCTGCAGGTCCTGCTGAATGTGCTGAGATCCCTCGTCCCCCTGCCTGCCCCTCTCTCCCATGGACATCCTGGAGACCAACTGTCCTCTTAGGCCAACAGAGAGGCTGTCACCGACCTTCGTGATTAGGAATGTGAACTGTGACCTGTTTTCCTTTAGACCCCATCTCAACAGATAGAGAAGTCAACCACATGTTGTCCCACACCCTTGTCACCAGTTTCCACCAAACAGCTCACACCAGCCTTATTTTTTTATGTTTCCAATCAGTTCGCTCACCAACCCTAGAAAATTTGAAAGCAGATCTCAAAAAAATATAATTTCTTCAGTAATTAATTCAATATTGTATCTAAAGATAGGCTATTTGGTATGTATGTAGAAAATGAAAATACATATTAAGTACATATATTTACATTAAAAATGATTCAAGAGAGTGTAGATATGGCTCAGTGGTGAATAACACTTGTTGCCCTTGCAGAGGACTTGACTCTAGTTTCCAGCATCCACATGGTGGGTCACAACCATCTGTAACTTCAGTTCCAGGGAATCCCATGTCCTCTTCTGACCTCTGAGGGCACCAGACACACACGTACACATTCTTAAATTCAGGAAAATGAATGCAATTAAAAAATATGTGTATTGGCATGTTGCCTAAATGAATGTGTGTGAACCACTTGTGTGCTTGGATCTCCTGCAGACCAGAAGAGTGAGTCAGATCCCCTTGAAGTAGAGTTACGAGAAGGTTGTGAGCTGTGAGCCCCTTGAACCCACTTCAACAAGAGCAGACAGTGCTCTTTCCTGCTGAGCCATCTCTCCAGCCCCTCTCCCAGATTGTTTAAAGTCCTTCTTAGAGTTTCAGCTGCTTCTTTCTCCTTGATTGCTCCTGGTGAAAACTTAACAGTTCACCCCATCTTCCCATCTTCTGTAAACTGATTTTATTTAAATCATGAATCTCAATGAGATGTAGTCAAGCCTTTCAGGGGTGGGGATGCCTCCAACAGCTCTTGTATTTTTGAGGACGTTTTTTAACTCTCCTGGGTTATTCTTGTTTCCACACAAAGCTGTAAGTTTTCCTGTCAAAATCCATGAAGATTTGTGTTGGAATATTGATGTGGTTGCATTGAATCTGTAGATTGCTTTTGGTAAGATAGCCATTTTTACATCATTAATTCTACCAATCCATGAACTTGGGAGATCTTCCAATATTTCTGATAATCTTCTTAAACTTCTCGTCATACAAGTCTTTCACTTGCTGGGTTAGAGTTTTATGTATTTCATGTTATTTGAGGCTATTTTGAAATGTGTTGCTACTTTTTATTTCTTTCTCAGTCAGTTTGTCATTTGTATATAGGAAGGACACTGATTTTTTGAGTTCATCTTATATCCCACTACTTGCTGAAAGTGTTTATCAACTGTAGAAGTTTCCAGATAGATTTTTAGGGTCACTCGTATATACTGTCATATCATTTGCAAATGGAGATTCTTTAAACTTCTTCCTTTTCAATTAAATCCCCTTGATCTCCTTCAGTTGTCTTATTGCTCTAGCTAAGACTTCAAGTATTACATTGAGTAGATCTGGAGAGAGTGGACAACCTTGTCTTGTTTCTGATTTTTGTGGGAATGCTTTGATTTTCTCATCATTTAAGTTGCTGTTTACTTGGCCTTGATGCAAATTGCCTTTATTATATTAAACTACTCAGTTAAACCAACATATATATGCTCCCTGTATTCATAATATCTCCAGGACTTTTATTTTGAAGGGCTGGTAAGTTTGTTAAAGGTCTTTTCCTCAACTAATGATGTGATCATGTGATTTGTGTCTCTTGGTTTGTTTATATGGTAGATTTCATTTATTCCTTTACAGATGTTGAAAGAGCTCTGAATGTCTGGGATAAAGCTTACTTGATCATGATGGATGATCTTTTTGATGTGTGTAACTGAAAGTTTTTCTGTGTCCCTGCCTGCTGGAGGTCTGGACAATTCTCTACCACCTGTGTCCTCCAAGTAAACACACAGAGGTTTATATTAATTAAAACTGTATGGCCATGGCTGGCTTCTTGTTATCTAGTCTTTTTTTTTTTTTTTTTTGGTTTGGTTTTTTGAGACAGGGTTTCTCTGTGTAGCTTTGTCCCTTTCCAGGTACTCACTCTGTAGCAAAGGCTGGCCTCAAACTCATAGAGATCTGCCTGCCTCTGCCTCCAGAGTGCTGGGATTAAAGGAGTGTGCCACCACCGCCCATACTATCTAGTTCTTATACCTTAAATCAACCCATTTCTGTTCATCTATAAGTTGCCACGTGGCTGTGGCTTACCAATCTGCTGGCATGTTGTTCCTTTGGTGGTGGCTAGTGTCTGCCCCTTTCCAGAATTCTCCTTGTCTGTTTTTCCCACCTATACTTCCTGCCTGGCTACTGGCCAATCAGCTTTTTATTTATCAAGCAATCAGAGTAACACATTCACAGCATACAGAACCTACCACAGCAGATGTGCTTTTCAATTCGATTTGCAAGTACTTTATGAGAATTTTTACATCTATGTTCCCAAGGAAAATTGGTCTGTAATTTTCTTTTTGGGGGATGGGGGTTCCTTGGTTTGGGTATCAGGGTAACTGTGGCTGCATAAATGGATTGGGCAATGTTTCTTCTATGTCTATAGTGTGAGATAATTTGAGGAGTATGGCTTTATCTCTTTGTTGAAAGTGGTAGAATTCTGCTTTAAAAACCATCAAGCCCTGGGCTTTGTTATTGTTGGGAGACTTTTAATGGTTGCTTCTATTTTACTGGGTTTATAGGTCTGTTTAAATGGATAATGAGATTTTAATTAAACTTTTGGAAGTGACATGTCTTGAGAAAATAATTAATTTCTTAGATTTTCCAAATTGGTGGAGTACAGCTTTTTAAAATAAGTCTTTAGATTCTCTGGATTTCCTCGCTGTCTGTTGTCTGCCTTTTCATGGATAATTTGGTTAGTTTGGATATTCACTCTGCCTTTTAGTTAATTTGGATATGAGTTTGTCAATTGTATTCATTTTCTCAAAGAACCAACTCTTTATGTCAATGATTCTTTGCATTGCTTGTTTGTATTTTATTGATTTCAGCCCTCAGTTTGATTATTTCCTGTCATTTGATGTGTGATTTCTTCTTTCTCTCCTAGGGCTTTCCAGTATGCTGTTAAGATCTAATTTTTTTTATGTAGGCACTTAGTGCTATGAACTTGCCTCTTAGAACTTCCTTCATTGTGTCCCATATGTTTGGATATGTTGTGTATTCAGCTTCATTCAATGCTAGAAATCTTTAATTTCTTTCTTAATCCATTTTAAATTCAGTAGTGAATATTTCAGTGTCCAGTTAGTTTGAAAGCTTTTTATTGTTTTGCTTGTTGTTGCTATCCAGCTTTAGCCCATTGTGGCCACATAGCATGCACAGGATTGTTTCAATTTTCTTGAATCTGTTGAGACTTGCTTTGTGTGCCTGAGTATATGGTCAGTTTTGGAGAAAGTTCTATGAGGTACTGAGAAACAGGTATTTTTTGTGTGTTTGGGTGAATAGTTCTGTAAACATGTTGGGTCCATTTGGTTTATAACATCTGCTAGCTCCAGCATTTCTCTTTTTACTTTTGTCTGTGTTTTGGTCAGATTCAAGTAATGAAGTCTCCCACTATCAATGTGTGAGCGTCATACCTTTTGATTTCCACTGTAGTATTGTTCCTTTTTACAAACTTGGATGCCCTTGTGTTTGGTACACAGATATTAAGAAATGCTATGTCCTTGTCAGAAGCTATTTCCATTAGAACTAAAGTTTTGAAAAAGAGGAAAGAAAAAGAGGGAGGTGAGTATCCACCATTCTTTAGCAAGCATCTTGATCTTGGTTCAAGATCAACAGACAGATAATTCACTGGGGCTAATGTGGGATGAGTACACAAGGTGCCATGATGGTTGTCCTTGCCCCACAGGGGACCTCTAACTCAGCCAGATGCTCATGTGGAATGCTTGGCTATTTATCAAGAGATTATGTGAATCTGGGCAGGACACTGGTGGCACATGCCTTTAAGCATTTGGGAGGCAGAGGCATGTGGATCTATATGAGTTTGAGGACAGCCTGGTCTACAAGTTAGTTCCAGGACAGCCAGGACTGTACACAGAGAACCCTGTCTTAGAAAAAACAAGAACAAACAAGCAATCAAACAAAAAACAAAAATAAAAGACAAGAAAAGAAAGAGAATTTGGAATGTTTCCAGATAGAGTCATAGATATTCCTAGTAGGCCACCAGGAAACATTAATATTCAGACTAAGGAATTAGGATTTTTTAGCATTCTTCTTTAAGGGTCTTGCGGCCTCCATCTTGTCCAGATACGCAGAACGATTACAAATGTCTGCAGGTCCTGCCATGTGTAGCATGAATCTTCAAGGTTCTTCCTAATAAAATCAAACCTGGGCCAGGTATTGGGGTGAACACTGGACGATCAGAGAGACAGAACAAGCCACAGCTATCTCACCTTGCCAATTCCTCAGCTGGTCCTGTTTCCTCAGGTTGGAAGCCTCTGAGTCCTCATCCAGAATGAATCTCACCTGAACTGTGTTGCTTCAAAGCCTGAAAGCTTAACCAGCTGAATGCTTAACCAGCCACATGCTTAACCAGGCAAATGCTTCTAGTTTCTGGTCCTCACGCCTTATATA